ATAGTGATCATGAATCACTTAAATACTTGAAGGGTCAAGGTAAGTTGAATAAAAGGCATGCAAAATGGGTTTAATATCTAGAACAATTTCCTTATGTCATCAAGTACAAAAAGGGCTCTACAAATATAGTAGCTGATGCTTTATCAAGAAGACATGTGTTGTTAAACATCCTAGGATCTCAAATACTAGGGTTTGATGACATAAAGGAATTGTATGAAAAAGATCCCGATTTTGCTAACTTTTATCTTTTATGTATTCAAAAACCTTATCAAGGTTACTATATTTCCGAGGGGTTTCTTTTTAAAGAAAACAAACTTTGCATTCCTCAAGGATCTATTAGGAAACTCTTGGTAAAGGAGAGCCATGAGGGTGGGCTCATGGGACATTTTAGAATTGAGAAAACTCTTTTACTTTTGAAAGAGAAATTCTTTTGGCCTCATATGAAAAGAGATGTTCAAAGGTTTTGTACTAGATGCATAACTTGTCTTCAAGCTAAGTCTACAACAAAACCTCATGGACTATACACCCCCTTGCCCATATCCAATGCTCCTTGGGTAGACATTTCCATGGATTTTATCCTTGGTTTGCCTAGAACCCAAAGAGGAAAGGATTTCATCTTTGTGGTAGTGGATCGTTTTAGTAAGATGGCACACTTTATTCCATGCCACAAAGTGAATGATGCAAGCAATATTGCTAAGTTATTCTTTCAAGAAGTAGTGAGACTTCATGGGATACCTAAAACTATAGTTTCGGATAGAGATGTTGAGTTCCTTAGCCACTATTGGAAAACTTTGTGGGCAAAGTTAGGAACTAAACTTCTATTTTCTACCACATGTCACCCACAAACTGATGGGCAAACTGAGGTAGTCAATAGGTCTCTTGGAGCTATGTTGAGGGCAATCCTTAAGGAAAATAAAAAGTCATGAGATGACTATCTCCCTCATGTGGAGTTTGCCTACAACAGGGTGGTTCATAAAACCACCAAGATGTCTCCTTTTGAGATTGTTTATGGTTTCAATCCTCTTACCCCTTTAGATTTACTACCCCTACCTGATGTTGCTTCTTTTATTCATAAAGAAGGAACATCTAGGGCTGAATTTGTTAAGAACTTACATGAGAGGGTTAGAAATCATATACAATCCCAAACTGAAAAATATACTAAATATAATAATAAGGGAAGAAAGGAAGTTGTCTTCAATGAAGGTGACTGGGTTTGGCTCCACCTTAGGAAGGATAGATTTCCTTCCAAAAAAAAGTCTAAACTTAGTCCTAGAAGGGATTTCAAGTCCTTAAGCGTATCAACAATAATGCCTATGTCCTAGATCTCCCCTCTGAGTATGGGGTTAGTCCTAGTTTCAACATATCTGATTTATCTCTTTTTACAGGACTTGCTGACCAAGAGGAAGATTCTTTGGATTTGAGGTCAAATCCTCTTCAAGAGGGAGGGGATGATGGAGGCCCATGGGCCAAAGGCCCAACTACTAGGACTATGGCCAAGAGGATACATGAAGAATGGGCCCATGCTCAAGAGAAGCCCATAGTACTCTTCAGTTAGGCTTTGACTCAAGCCCAAGTAGATTAGGTTGTAGTATAGGTTTGGGCTTTGGGCTTGTATTGTATTTTTTTTTTGGCCTTGTATTTCGGCCACCTAGGTTAGGAATTTCATTTCATTGCCATGTGAATTTAGGATTAATCTAGGTTAGCATGTGCATGTTCATTTGCATGTAATTAGTATTCCATTTAGTATGCATTTCGGCCATGTGCACACATGCACATGGTGTGACCGAAATGATGCTTAAAACTTGTTCACTACACTACTTTCCCTATAAATTCACCTTGGCCGGATTGTGTCACCACTTTTGGATATTATATGAGAATTTTCTTCTTGTGCAAATTCTCCACCGAAAGTCACTCTAAGATCCTCTCTTCTTCTCTACTTGAGCTTCTCTCTTTGTAGAGTTAGGATCACCAATCTTCTAACCGGAATTGGAAGGTTAACCTTGGCTACACTTGCTCCTCTTCATAGTCTTCATCTCCTTGCATCAACCACAAGGAACCGAGGAGGAGTTTTTGAGGCATCAATGGAGTTTTCTCATTTGAAGGCTCCATCAAAAAAGATCACCATGTGTTGTTGGTTTGGTAGGATCAAACCACTTAAACTGCTCATCCTGTATTGTTAGAGATCTCTTAGTTGAAATGCGTAATGACACATATAATTGTTGTGCTAAGCATATGATGTGTTGAGTCAGTTTTGCTGTTCATATGTTGTATTGATCCGTGATGAAATGTGTTTCTATGTTCAACTATAGTTGTTGTGTTGATTTGTGTTGCATGATGTGATGCCCTGTCATTGTGTTGTTAAAGATAAGATGATGATGTGATGTTTCGGTGCTGTATATTTGTTGTTTCTTTTTATTCTAGTTTATCCTTACATGTTTTCATGTGGTGTGAATTGTAATGATCATACATGGTATGAGAATAGGATAGGGATAAGACTGGAGTGTTGCTGTGGAGGCCACCTAGTGGCACAGGAGCTGGAGGATATTTTGTTGACTACCCGATGGTAGTAGATTTGTATAGACAATTGTAGTTGCTTGACCGACAACTTAGGATGTATAGTTTACATTTACTAGATTACTATATTTATATTACACATATTTATATAGATGTATACCTTTATATGCATGCAGTATGGTACATGTTTCTAGTAATTGTAATTCTACCGTCTTAAGTTAGATGTTTTCCATTGTTAGTAGTTGTGTCGTACAATGTAAGGATTAAGACGGATCGTTACACTAACCACTCAAATTCTTAACTACCTTTATTACTTAATCTCATTTTTTATTTTATTTTTAAATTTTTAAATAAAATATAAATGCACGAAGTGTCTTGATCTCATTAGTATATATAAATCAAAAACATATCCAATGAAAACATGTTTTTATTATGAGTAATAAGATGGTTAAATAATAACCTTTAGATTATAAATAAAAACAATTAACGGTTGAGATTAAAACTCAATTATAAATACCTCTCCCATAATATCCTTACTATAGTTGCCTTGACAACTATCACCATCATCACCACCACCCCTACCATTATTACCACATGGTGGTGAAAACGATGATAGTGGCAACAACCGTAACAGTGTCGATGGTGGTGGTGGAGTTGGTGGCTTCGTCACTATCACCATTATTGTCATCACTATTACTTGCATTGCCACCACCATCCCTATAAACATTGTTGTTGTCAACACCCCAACATTGGGATCGTTGCCACGTGACAACGATGATGGTGATGGTGGTGGTGATGGAACCATAAACAATAGTAGTGATGGTAACAGCGTTGGTGGGTGGTGACTATGATGGTAGGCAATAGTAATAATCTCATAGAAGCATGGTAGTCAATCCCGGATAGCGGCCGACCCCAAAACTGGGATAGCGGGATGACGCGGAGCGGGATAACCGCTATTTAAATATTAATTTATATATATTAAATAATTAATAATATATATATAAAAGCTAAAAAACAAAAATAATTAATAATATATATATATAGAATCAGAAATTAAAAAAAATATGCTGCTGAAATAGAAATAGAATTTTCTGAAATTAAAAATAAAATTTTCTGAATTAAATTTAATCAGAAATTAAAAATAAAATTTGCTGAATTAAATTTAATCAGAAATTAAAAATAAAATTTTCTGAATTAAATTTAATCAGAAATTAAAAATAAAATTTTCTGAATTAAATTTAATCAGAAATTAAAAATAAATTTTTCTGAATTAAATTTAATTAGAAATTAAAAATTAAATTTGCTGAATTAAATTTAATCAGAATTTAAAAATAAAATTTGCTGAATTAAATTTAATCAGAA